GGGCCCCTGGATGTCATGTACACGCGCATAGCCGCACGTGTGCGTGTGGCCAAGAATGCAGCCAGGTAGTGTGGAGAGCAGTGTCCTGAAGGTAAGTCTGTGGAGGGGAAGGGGTGTGTGTGTGTGTGGTGGGGGGGTGTGCTGCCCAGCCAAGGTAGTGCAAGTGACCCAGGGCTGGCATGGGGAGTGGGATGGAATTGTGGGTAGCTCATCCAGGGGGGGTGAGGGGGAGCGGCTCCCTGCCACTACATGCACCCCTCAAGGGAGGCATGGGGGGGCACTGTGCCTCCCCCATATTTGTGAGTGGGGTGGATGTGGGCTCAGGGCTGTCTGTCCTGATGCCTTTGCCCTGGGGGCCCTGTGACGGCTGTGCATCCCCTGCCTGTCTGGCGGCAGTGGGGGTGGTTTGTCTCCCACTACCAGGCGGGTAGGGGGTGTGTGGCTGGCACAGGGCTCCCGGGGCAAAGGCAGCAGTGGGCAGCCAGTATCCGCCCACGTCCCACTTATCTCTGCTCCAGTTGTAAGCGTAAGCGTCACTGTGCTTTAAAATGGTGGTGGCGGTGCTTGAGCTAAAGCTCATTTGACAAGCTTTAGTTTAAGTGCCCCCACTGCAGTTTTCAAGCACTGCTGCCCTGGACAAGCTACCCATGACTCTGTCCCACTCCCCACTCCAGCCCTGGGTCCCATTGGGCCCCATTCACTGCTGTGGCTGGGCAGTGCCCCAGTCCCTGCCCCTGCCTAACTCCCTCCCTCATTGTGGGGGCCTCGATCTTACTCCCCTACGCCTCTTTCTTTCCTCATGCCCCTTCCCCTCCACAGATGTACCTGCAGGTGCAGAGCGCTGCGCTCCACACTGCCTGGATGCATTCCTGTAAATTGGTTATCAGGACAGTATTGGCCAGTATGCTTGCTTAATAATCAGCTACCAGTATTGGCCAAGAAAATCTTTATCAGTATACCCCTAGAAATAAGGGACTGATTCTGGTTTCTTACATTTTTACCCTGGTGTTACTATTCAGTGAAGTGGAATTACTCTAGTTTTACACTGGGGACAGAATACGAGTAGTCCCTGAACTTGGGAACTTCTAATGTGCTCAGCCTCATAGTCTGACCATTGTGGGTATTCCATACATTTTGGTATATTTGTCTGAAATTTTTAAGAATAATTCAGAAAACATTTTAAATATCTGGTTCTATAGTAGAGGTGCACCAGTACATTGGTCCGATATCAGATCAGCAATCATATAACGAAAATTGTCTTTATTGGAAATTGGCTGATAATTTGGCTAATAAACGGCCTGTGCATGCGCCCAGCCACAGCGCAGCACGTAGGTGGCGAGGAGCACAATCCAGCAGCTTGGAGAGCTGTGTGCAGCTGGTAAGTCTGTTGTTGTGGAAGGGGATAGGAAAGGAAGGGGTGCAGAGGGGCAGATCATGGCCCCCGCGGTGAGGGAGGAGTGGGGCTAGAGAGGAGCTCATCTGGGGAGTGTTGAGAAGGGGGGGTGGGGGGCAGCAGCACTTGCTGCTGCGTGCCGCTCATCTGGGAGCAGCTCATCTGGTGGCTCCTGCCACTGCTCTTGCCACTCGTCCAGGTGGGCATGTGGGGGGGGGGGGGTGCCCCTGGATCTGCATGGGGCAAGCTGGGAAGAGCCCTGTGGAGATCCGGGGGCACATGTCTATGTCCCCCAACCCCCATGTCTTCCTGGATGAGCAGCGGGAGCAGTGGTGGAAGCCGCTGGATGAGTGGTGCGTAGCAATGGGAGCCACTGCCCCCCCTGCATTCCCTGCATGCCCCCCCTCCCCGCTCTGGCTGTGCGGTACTTGCCCCAGCCCCACTTCTCCCTCACCATGAGCACCTTGATCTGCCCCGCCACGCCCATTCCCTCCCCCCTTCCCTTCCACCACAACAGACTTACTAGCAGCAGCAGCTCTCCAAGTTGCTGGCTATCAGAAATCGGATGGGTATCAGCCGATATGCCTCCTTAGAAATCGGCTCTCAGTAGCAGCCCCAAAAATCTCTATTGGTGCACCCCTATTTTATAGTTTTGTATCTCTGTATGTATCGAGGTGTTCACAAAAATAGTATGTAATTGTAAATTATAAGAGTTTCATGTGTAAATTTACCCTGATTTATAATCCTTAACGTACAGCATTTTGTGCTGCTTTGCTGTTAAAAAAATGTACAAGTTGAAAAATGATTGCCTGATTATGCATTAGACAGCATAAATAATGTATAGTTTCTGTTTTTATTTGGGGTTCCTATAAAAGTGAAATATAGGATTTGGGTGTCAAAGTAATTTCCCCCTGCTGATTAAAAGATGAATAATATGGACATTAGTAGCCAGTTATCATCTTCTGTAAGACATTCAAGCTTCTAGTCAATTTGTTATGAAATTGCAGAAAAATAAGTTAAAGGAAGTGAATACTTGTGAATGTTAGGGGTTTGTATTTCTTTTTAATTAATATGGAACAAAAGCAGTCCTCTTTTCTTAAAGATTGTGGGATCTATGCTTTTACTGCATGTGTATTTATGTGACCTATATGCAGAATGCAGTTGTTGCTTAGTGCCGATAAGTTCAGTGTATAGGAGTAACTACACATATTTTCAGTTGTGACAATTACACACAACTTGCAGGTAAATATGGACATTTTTGATCAGATTATGAGAAAAGTTTGAGGGCAAAAAAATATTCTTTGCTTTTAAAATGCTGCAGTTGGAGAGTAAATTTAGTATCTTACCCTTTGGGGTAGGATAATCAATGCATGCTACGTACAGTGAACACTGTAAAGTGTTCTGGTGTCTTTTAGTTTCTGAAATGTATTTTATATATAACCCAGAATATAAAACATAAATATATAAATAAAATATATAAATATAACCCATTTTATATATAACTTTGGAGAACAGATAATACCAGCAGAGTCTCCCTATGCCTAAGGAAGGGTGTTTGTGCCCAAAAGCTTGCAAAGAACATTTTTTCCAGCTATTTAGCTGGTCTAATAAAAGATATCACATCTACCCAAAAAACCTTGCCTGCCCTTTTATATAAAAAGTATTTTTATGCAAGCATAAAGAATGGGCATGCATTTGATCTCTGGCTGCAGTCGGATACAATATTATGAAAACCCTGTGTAACGGGGGCCCCTGTGGTCTCCATTCCAAGAAAGAAAGAAAAGAGAGGAGTCCTTTCAGAGGGACAGCGCTAACTGAGGACCATCTCTTACAACAATATAAGGGAAGGGCTCCAGCAGCAGAGGAAAGCAGAGCCAAAGCCCACTTTAAGGGCCTCCCGTTAAGAAGCCATAGGAGGTGGCATGTAAAGGGACCCAGAGGAGCCTTGGCCACAAAAAATGCTTTGCCTGAGTGACCTGCTTGCCCTGTTAGCATCAAATTGTGTGGGGACCAGAGGACTGCACTGTGCCCAAAGAAAAGGGCACTGGTGAGCTGTCATACCCTGCCATGCAGTTTCATCCCATTATGTAATAAAAACTTATTTTCAAAACTACTCTGCATATGAGCTCAAAACCTTGAAAACTATACTGGAAAAGTAAAAAAAAAAAAAAACAAACAAAACCCCAAAAACTATTAGAGAGTTAAACACTCTTTTTTAAATACCCTATGCAGAAAAATCAATTTCTAGTATAACTTTCAATGCTTGATCTATGCTTGGTTTTATTTCTTTATGTATCCTGAAACGGCTGCCTCATTTTACTATACTTTTTGTCAGAACTTCATGCAGCAATTCATTTAATTTTTCCTATGTATCTTTACAACAACCATAGGGGGGAGTGTTACATTTTCATTAAGTAGGAGCAGAAGCATACCATTATCTTGAGCTGCTCTGCTGTACATGACTAAACTTTCTAAACCTGAAAACAGTTTCTGCTTACTATGCCAGTTATGCTGCATATGAGTTATTTTGCTTTTAATTTCATTATGGTGAAACTGGTCATTCTGTTGTATCTTAAGCAGCAATGTATAGTGTAATTGTTTCCTACTGGTTCAGGTCCTCCTGTTATGAACCTCCCTGCCCCCACCACAAATAATTAGTTCAGCTGAAAATTAACAGCTGCTACACTTAATGGATGTGAGTTTGTATCCTTTAAAAAAACCCCTGAAGTCTGCAGTAGTTATTGGAGTATGTGTGACAGATACTGAATTCCACGATATATCCTCTTGTTTTATTTTTTTAATGTTCTTGTGAACAGTTTTTCCCAATTTTCCTTTAGATGTGATCTTCAAATATGATAAGGTAAAAGGGCAATGGTATAGCTCTATTCAGGACAAGCTTGACTGCATTAGGTCAACAATACTGTATTAATTGTTGAAGTACATGAATCAGAATATTTTGTATTGATAAATCAACATTTCTAAGTGATAATTTTTTCCCAATGCATGAAATCTTATCTCCCTTTGTTATCATTTAACTTATATTTTTTATTTTGATAGAGAATTTGACTTTGCCAGTTCTTATAAGACTGACTATAAAATATGGTGCAATATTTTTGGCTTTAGTGGTATATTTTGAGTAAAAATTATTTTCAAAACTGCTATTCAGAACTCCTTGGGCAACAATGAATCTTCACTAATTTTAGTTTTCTGGGAAAGCAATGAGCCACAAGAGAGGCAAACACTGGGATTATTTGTGGGGGATGAGAATCTAAAAACTGGGATGCTTTTTCTACTCCTGCCTGTCAGTGGCCAGGAGTTACCACAAGAGGGCTAGGGATGATAATGGCCATGTCTGATGCCGTTATATTCAACAGCAAACACGAAGGCTTCCTTCTGCTTTGTACTGATTCAAACCATATTATTAAAAACAAAATGAATGCATTTTTAGCTAGAATTTTGTGCCATAGCCCTTATGCATTTTAGCTTGCCTGCAGTAAATGTCCTTCACAAGAAGTACGTTTTGTTTGGGGCTGCATGAAACAGGCTTCATGTTATGAGCTTTTCTAAAGTATAATAATTCAACTGAACTTTCGTTTTATGCTTTCAGGACTGGGGCTAGATTCCTCTAAACTTCCCAGTCAGTTCAGTATCTCTGATTGGCCTGAAATGAAGAAACTGTTTGCAGATGTATTTTCCCAGAAGACCCAAGCAGAATGGTGCAGAATCTTTGATGGCACAGATGCTTGTGTGACTCCTGTTTTATCCATCGAAGATGCAGCCTCACACCTGCACAATAAAGAACGCGGTTCTTTCATAAAGAATGATCAGGAAGAGATCAGTCCTAGACCCTCTCCTCTTCTTTCAAGGACCCCGGCAACGCCATCTCTGAGAAGGGACCCTTATATAGGAGAACACACAGAAGAGATACTTCTAGAGTATGGCTTCACAAAGGAGGAGATTGCCAAACTTCATTCTGATAAACTGATTGAAATCAGTTATCCAAAAGCTAAATTATAATCTCCAAATATACAAATCAGAAATGTTTTGAATATTTTAATGTGGCATAATTTAAGGTATCAAAATGAATGCAGTAATTTAATACTAACTATGCAAACTGTATTCCAAACTGGATTAACACACAATATTACTATTGATACTTTGGTGCCAGGAGATCTTGTTCTGAAAGTTCTCTAATGTTTGCTCAGGATGAAGATGTAAAGCTTCATAATGGTTTTCAATAAGCATAGTCTATGAAATGTTGATTTGTTTAAATCCTTTTGTATGTAATTTGCTGAAGGTAATAATTTATATAAAACACTTGTACTTGATGCTTTATAAATGGTGTCACTTTCATAAACTGAGAAAGTCTTAGTTGTAGGAGCTCCAGTCTTAGGAATGATCAGTCCTGTTGTCTACACAAGTGAAGCATTCCCATTCTGTCTAGTTCACAGATATGGTATATTTTTGCATCTCATTCAGAAGCTGTTTGTTCTTTGGGGTGATTATTCTGCATTACAGAACTAATTCTTCATTGAGGAACTAATTCCATTTTCTTTTTCCTGCTCCTATTCAATTAAGGCATGCAGAACTGTCATAAACATTGCACACTGTGAACAAACAGATTTATGTCACTAATGCCTGTGATCACTAAACCTGATATGTTTCCAGCTTTGTTCAGACGAACATTTCTTGCATTCTGAGGAATTTCGTAGTGCTACAAAAATGTAGTGTGATGTGAATTCAGATGTTCACAGTGCCCAGTCACTTACAGCACTAGAAAGAAAAGCAGGAACATGCACAACTGGTGCTTAGCAGGTAGAAGGCTGGTGTGCAGACACCCCAGCATAACTTGCAGGGACCCAGTCTGAAGAATCCTGAGGACAGCTAAGTACAGCACAGTCCACATTGCACTGGAAGTGTAAAGCCGCTGTATGCCTTGTCATTCTCCACTCACAAAGGCTTGCCAGTTATGCTCCAAGCCTGAAATGAATCCTTACTGCTTGCTTGTCTGGTCAGGGAGGTCAACTGTCTCTGTTATGCTCATCAAGGCCTACCAGTGCCTGCTCAGTCTGTTGCACATCCTGGGTGTTTTGGCATGCAGCATTGTGGATGTACATGCTCACAGGACCAGGGCCTTGGAAATGTGTCCATGAGACCGCCGCATCTAGGTATTGGCAAACGAGAGCAAGTTGTCACATGGGACACTATAGAGGCTGGACTGCTACAAGAGTACTTCCAGACCCTGCACTGGTGCTTTGGGCAACAGAGCATAGCACCAACTGGTGGGAGCACATTGCCCCAGGAATCTGAAACAACAAGCAGTGGCACAGAACTGGGCGTACCAGATCATCTTCACGAAGGTCTGGATCAACCTGGTTCCCAGCCTGGAGTGAAAGTTATCAGTAGAGGGGCTCCCCTTACTGTGGGGAAGCACATTGTTATAACCATCTGGAAGTTCGCCACTCTGACAGTCTCAAGTCCATCGCCAACCAGTTTGGTATAGACAAGTCTGCAGAAGCATTGACTAGGACAGGGATGGGCAAAATGGTGGATCTGGCCAACAGCTGGACTCCATTATCCAGCAGCCCCTGCCTGTGTGGCTGGGGCCGCTTTCCATGGAGACCCCAGCAGCAGCCATGCTGTGATAGCCTGAGGCTGGGGTTTCTATGGAGACCAGCTCCAGCAGCACTGGTAGGGCATGCAGCAGGGTAGGGAGCTGCTTCAGGGCTGGGCTGGGATCTTGCAGCAGTGACAGCATGGTCTGGAGACAGGGCAGAGCCGCAATCTGCAGCCTGTATGCTCCAGGTGGTGGCATGCAGGCATTTGATCATGGCTCTGCCCTGGCTTCTTGCAGTGGTAACAGCATGGTCTGGAGACAGGGCAGAGCCGCAATCTGCAGCCTGTATGCTCCAGGTGGTGGCATGCAGGCATTTGATCATGGCTCTGCCCTGGCTTCTTGCAGTGGTAACAGCATGGTCTGGAGCTGGAGCAGGGCCGCAATCTGCCGTCTACACACCCCTGTCCAGAGCATGCAGGCTAGATTTGGGAAGAGCATTCCTCTCCTCTGACATGGTATAGAACAAGGTATGAAAGTAGGTTTAAAAATCCAGTATTTCTCTTGCTTTCTGTTCCAGTTGTACTCTGCTGCTTTATTCATATGGTTTGTGAGACAGACTTCTGCAGCAAAAGGAAGGACATTTACATCTAGCAGGTGCATTTCAAATATGTTTAGTACAGTAGAAAGCTGCATATTGTCGTTGGTTCATGTTTTCATTTAACATCAGTATTTAAAGTATGTTGCACAATGATTGTAATACATTTGAAAATAATTGTACTACATTTTACAATTGTTTACATTAAACCATTTAAAAATCTGCTTTAAAACAGCCATCTGGGTTAGGATCAAACATTTTGTCTTTTGAAGGTGTCATGGCAAATCTTGGTCTTGGTTTAGAGATCCTCCCACATGAGAATCCAACATGTCTGTACTACACTTACTGGGTTTGGTCAGACAGAAATATATACCAAGCCTGCAGGTCATAACATCTATTATGTAGCTTTGTCAGGTATTCTGTAAAGTTTCCTGGTTTTTGGGGGCGGGGTGGGGAGAGGTGTTGATTAAGTTCAAAATTCAAGTTCTAGTAAAGTGTGCTTTGTGGATAGCTCAAATAATTGAATATTTAATTCTTTAGGTTTTTCTATTTTATCTGAGTAGAGTACTTAGGATCTTTCTAAAATGTTAAAATAATTGTACTTATATTCTTCAACTTAACTTTCCCTTTTTAGGTGACTGTTACTCACCTCCGGCCTCTTGAGGCATGCTTTCTTTCTTTCTGTCTATCTACTTACACATCCTCCTCCGTCACCAATACTCATGCCAGCGGAGACTGGCAGTGTTAATGAAGGGATGGTATGCTATTGACAACTTCTGTACTTGGTAACAAAGTACACACTGCCTGCAAAAATCACTTCCTTCTCCCTAATAATGGTTTCTGCAGTACCATTGTACGTAGACTGTTGCTGTAATTGCTTACTGCAAGATTCTAACCTGAAGTAGCAATATCTGTATTTTTTGGTGCTTTTCTCATAGAACAAATCTTATCAGAATAATAAGTGCCTGGTGTAGAGATTCTTTACTAGACTTCTGATATGGTCAGGGTCAGAACATCTCAAACTGGTCTTATGAGCACTTTTCATAGCAACCTGTAAGTCCAGTTTTCTACACACAAATATTTGCTTAGAAAATAAAATCAATTTGCCTGAGATTTCACCTGCCACTTGGAGGCAAATAAGACATTTGGCAGGTGTAAGAACATCTAACTTAGAGTAATATGGTGTTTTTTGTTGCTGACAAGTGTTTTTTTTGTAGAATAACTTTTTGGACTATTCCTTGTTTTATCGTGCCATTAATTGATTGAATGTGTGGCCGTGTCACAACTTAAGATGTGATTAACTGATTAATCATGTCTTTATATTAATATGTGGCAGGGGCCTGTGTAATGCAGATATAGGCAGGTTTGATGGTGCAGTTTTCTAGAAATTTTTCCTTCAGGTGACTCGTGAAGAGGTTGGCATACTGAGGGACCATGTTTATGTCCATAGTTATGCCCAGGGTTTGGGGGAAGTGACAGTTGTTGAAAGTGTAGTTGCAGGGGAAGATGAAGTGGATGATTCCTGCTTTAACAACTGACCTTTTCGAACCTGAAATGACTATGCCTGTTATGCTGTATATGTAACCTTGGGCATGACGCTATACATGCCCTCACCTGATTAGTGGGATCCTGGCGTACCTAGTAGCCACTGGCCTTGTTCAGCTCCCTGGGTAGCTGCTGCAGTCCCCAAGCGGAGAGCCTCCCCTAACAATCAAACAATCTTGCAGTCCTTTATAAAACTATTCACAGAATTTAATTATTTACAAGGTAGTATATAATTAATACAATAAAATCAATAATATTATACACACACAACCCAGTGATGGTGGCTTCAGTGTTAATGCTTCTCTGATGCACCTCACAGCAGGGGGATACGTACAAATCACCCACGATAAATAAGGAACCAATAAATAAATACATTGATACACCAACTAATAAACTATCTAGAACTTATTTACACACTCAACCTATAACTTGTATGCTGCAGAGTAACTATGAGGACCCCGTGTTCACTGCCTCTGGCTTGGTCTCTCAGGGAGCAGGGCTGCATCTTGTGCCCCTGGTCCCTGCTGCTGGCGTCCCTCTCTGAACTCCAGGCGTCTCCGTGCAGCAGGTGGTGGCTCCTCCCTTGTGGTCCCTGCAAGAGAGCTGATTCCTGCCCAGACCCCCATCTCCTGCCTCAGCAGGGAGCAGTGTGGGCTGCAGGCTGGAGCAGTTCCCCTGCTCAGCACAGCCTCACAGCATCCAGCTAATGCAGCCCCTCCCTGGGCCCTGCTCTGGCCGGAGCAGTCCCTGCCCCTCTAGCCCAGGGCTCCCTCCAGCACCCGAGCCTGCCCCTCCCCGGTGCTTTCTCACTCACGGGAAAACACCAGGGCAGTCTCCAGCCTCTCCCCCTGGCCCTGCGTCCCCATCCCCTGCTGTGCTTGCCCAGCCACACGGGCTTAGAGCAGGGTTTCCTCACAGGCAGCTTCTCTCTTGTGCCTGCCCTGGCAGGGCTCCAAGGGGGATTTCTGAGGCACAGCATGGTGAGGTCCTTTTCCTGACCTCCAGCCTGTCTTTCTTCCCCTCTGTTCTCCCCGTGTGGGGAAAACTGCTCCCCCCTTTTAAACAAGCCTCCTCAGGCAATCCCAGGCCAGGACTCTTTCTGGGCTTTTGCTGAGGTTCCTCATTCAAACCCATGGGTGGCTGGTTCCACCTGAGTCGGGGGGGGGGGGCACATGCCCCACCCCAGCAGCCAGTCAGCAACCGGGGGAGCGTCCCCCCATGGCCGATTTTGCCAACTTGGAAGCACGAGTGGGGCACCTGGAAGTGCCAGTGGTGCTTTTCCTGGCACTCCCACTCCCCAGCAAGTGCTTGCAGGGGGGGAACAGTGCTCCTGCCTGCCACCCCTGCCCATCGCCTAAGCAGGGAGCGCTGTATGTCAGGGGTTGCACGAGCGCTCTCAGGGGGTGCACGTGCACCCCCTACGCGTCGCCACTGTTCAAACCCCTGCTGGGGTTACATCACTCCTCCCACTTCAAAGAGGGCTACCTCCAGAACAGCTTCATTTGCTCCTAGGGCAGACAGTGTCCCTACTGGGACAAACTCTCTTCACACTGTCTCTCTGCAGGGCAGCCCTCCCTATCCCTTCTGGTAAGTACAATTTTAATGCTGCTACACGTATAAAATACTTTGCCTTTAATTTCATCATGGTGTAGTTGGTCATCTTTTGGTACCCTGAACAATGCTCTATTGTTTAATTGTTTCCTATTGTTCATGTCCCATTATGATCCTCTCCACCTGAGCTGCAAACAGTTGGCTCAAGCTGAAAATGAACAATGGAAGCACTTAATGGGTGTGAGCAGATAACGTTTGAAAAACCTGCAGTCTGCAGTGGTTTTTGGGAGATGGTTGATACTGGACACATCTGCATGTGACACTATGGCGCTGTTGTTACTGCACCATCATTTAGTACTTCCTTTCGGAAGTACTAAAAGATGGTGCACTAACAGCCAGTACTGCGCTCTGCGCGCCATGCACAATTATTTTTAGGCACTATGTCACTATAGTGACTCACTATAGTGGGGAGGGAGCACATTGTTACAGCAACGTAGCTGCGGCATCACGGGTTTTGCATGCGGACACTGTCACTGTAGCATGTTGCTACAGCGACGTAACGTGAAAACACACCCACTGAATGGCAAGATGTGTTCTCTTGTTCTGTTCACAAGAACAAGCAAAGGTAGACTTTGCTAATTTAAAAAATATTGTTTTTAGTGTTTAAGCATACAAAGCAAATTCTTTAATGTTTGTTATAAAACAATAGTTTTAATTGATAATATTTTATATAATGAAACAGAATTACCTACATAAGTTATCATTCAACTTCATTTTTTCTTCACAAGAAGAAAGGTAACTCCTTTGCCAGCTCTTATAGAACTGGCTATAAAATATGTTTGCTTTAGTAGTAGTAGTAGAGTGTGTGTGTGTGTGTGTGTGTGTGTGTGTGTGTGTGTATGTATGTATGTATGTATGTATCTATAAATAGATACACACACACACACACACACACACACACACACACATATATATATATATATATAGAGAGAGAGAGAGAGAGAGAGAGAGAGAGAGATATTGAGAGAGATTAACCATAAAATTTATATAGAGTAAGATTAACCATAGCATTTAATTTCATAAAGGTAACATTGTGTGTGACTATTTAAGCATCTGGAAACTTTAGTTTTACTGAGGATGCAAAATGGACATGCATAATCTTCATTTTTCTTTATTAAGAATTAATTCGATTCATTATGAAGCACTGATGTTGTCCAAAGACTAGTTTGGTCAGCAAGTCTGAACCCCTTGGGCAGCAGTGAATCTCTCGGGAGTCATGTTAATTTTAGCTTTCTAGGGAAGCTATGAGCCACAATGGGGGTAGGCACTGGGATTTAGGTGTGGGGAAGATGAGACTGAAATTTTTTTTTTACCCTCATTCCCATCCCCTCTACCTGTCTGTAGCCA